TTTTAAATAGTTGATTGGATATTAACATTGATATATTTTTTTTCAAAATTTTATTATATTTTCAAATTTATATTTTATTCAAAAATAAAATCATTATTGTTTTCTTAAAAACACATAAAATCGTATTATAACATCTACAAAGACACATAATAAATAGAACATTAAAATCGAGATGTGTCTCGCTGCATTGCGTGAGTACTCTTCTAGTATATATATAGAGAGAGAGATTTGTAATTTTATTTAGGTTATGCATTTTCTTTGTTCAAATGGTTTTATGTATTTTTAATTGTTGATTATATTTATATGTTTTATTATTAATAAAATATTTTGATTAAATATGTTATATTATTTTAAAATTATTTAGTTTTTAAAATAAATCGAATAGATTTAAAGTAATACGAAACATTTTAGCGATCTAAAAACATGGCATTTTTAATTTAAATTATATGGGATTATTTTCAAAGCAAAATATATATAATTTTTGCATTGTTTTACATTTGAGGGATCATATTGGGTTTCTTGAAACCACATGGACCAAAAGTGAAGTATTCTTTCAAGACTCAAAAGTTTATAACAGAAAAGAGGATATGATATTCCACGTGTACGAATTTCACACAAAGACTTTGGAAAGGGAGCCAACTACCCCTCGACCCCCTTCTTCTTCACAAGTCACAACCCACAACCCACCGGTGTAGGTCCAGTCTTTTGCCACCATCCAATTAATCAGATCAACAAACTCTGCTTCTCGATTTGGTTTCCATGCTCTCCCATCAAATCTCAACCTCACAACCGTCATTCTTGACTTCTTTCTTTGTTATTTCTGTTGCTATATATTTAGTGGGCTCTCTTGATTTCATTCAATAGGAGACACTTTCTCCCTTTCTCAATGGTTTCTTCTTCCCTTTCGATTTCAAGAAATCAACTGGGTTTTAATCGCTTCTTCAACTTTCCCAAATCCCTGAAGTTTTCTTCGTCTTCATCTTTTCTACTTCAGAAAAGTCTTTGACGCATTTCTTCAAACATCTTGATGGCGACTATGGGTTCTTTGGCATTTGTGAACGACCACACTACGATTGAGACCGCTGCTCTTTTGAATAATCATCATCGACCCAAGTTCCCTTTGTTTGCGTATTATCGACCAAGGAAATCACTTCTTGATAAGACATTTGTGTGTAATAATAGTAATGTTGCCGTTGGTGGCAGAGTATGGAGGATCAAAGCAACTGGAGAAAAGAGTTCTGGTGGAGATGCCACCGGTGATACGGATGAGGCGCTACAAGCTGTGATTCAGAAATCTAAAAAGCTTTTAGCCAAACAGAGAGACCTGCTTCAACAGGTAATTTCTTATTTGCTACAAATTCGAAATTACCTTTACAATCTTGGATGATTGTCTTTGTTGTTGACTAGTTATGATGAAGGAATTAGAAGCATTGTTGTTTTGTAATGGATGTTGAGAGGTTTAAAAGTGATTTAAGTTCTGTCTGGTTTGGTAAATCATTCACAACCAAATTGGGAAGTGCTGAAAATCTCTTATTAATTTTGGGGGTCAAATGTTTACCCTCTCACTTTGTTGCTAATCCTTTTACACTTTGAATTCAAGGCTGCCTGCCATTCATTTTTGAAATTTCAAGAAATCTTGAAGTTTCAATATCAGAAATCAAAAGGCAATCAATGACACCTTTAATGCTTAATTCTGATTGACATGATGGTGACTGAATGGAAATGCAGTTTCTAGTAAGTGCTTATTTAGGTCAGTCTTGGTATTGATTTCAAATTGCAGATGTTTGATATGGATTTTTTGCTTCCATAATTTGCCTTTTCAAATCAAGCCCATACCCATATAACTGATACTGATTTCAACTTTTAAGTTATTACTTGAAAGAGGACCCCATCATTACAGGTGCAACAAGTGAAAACCCAAAAAGTAGAAGACATTAATAAAATTTTGTTTGCTTGGAAAATTGGAATGATCCGGATCCCCCGCCCATCGGACTTTGATCTTTTTGTTTTCCTCTTTGTTTACATAATGCATTTCTACTTGTACCGAAAGAAACAAGAAAGTTCATTACATGATTATCACTCATTAAGGGTAAAATGAATCTTTAAAATATATATTAATGGTCACTGGAGATGGCAAAAATAGTACTGACAATACAATTTAAAGGCCCAGAGTGGTGCAATGTTCATAAGCCTCAATGGTGCCATTCCCTTAAATTGTTATATTTAATTCATGATCTTTAGCTACTATACGCTTCTCTTTCTAGCAGCAGTGAGAACTCTTTTCTCTCTCTATCTAAATGCAGATAGCTGAAAGAAGGGATATAATTACATCAATAAATAATACCACAATCAACTCTGAGATAGAGGAAATTTCTTCCAAAGAGGAAGAATCTTTTCTCGAACTGGATTCTAATCTTCCTGATGACAACTATACGGCTGACAATCCATCTAGTAGCAGCGTTGATCCAGTGAAATACCCGTTACCAGATAACCTGCATTATGATGAAGAGGCATCAGAATCTGGAATCAACTTGCCTCGTAAAGGTTATTTGGATGGAGATTCTTGGTACAAGCTTCAAGGCACAACTTCAGAGATATCTACAACAAATGAGTTGCCACCCTTCGTTTCTGATATCTCAACCACATACAAGAAGTCGGAAGATACAAATGAATCAACATTTCACCATGTGAAAGATGTGGTGGAAATTCCCAAAGATGATGATGTAAAATCCCCTCCTTTAGCTGGGGCCAATGTGATGAATATTATATTGGTTGCTTCAGAATGTGCTCCCTGGTCTAAAACAGGTAATACATAAAAAATTGTTTTACAAATGGGAAAAAATAACATCTAAGAATGAAATGTAATATACAATATGCTTTATTGACTGAGTTTATGCTCGGTTCATCTTTTCTTCGTTTTTTGTGCCTTTTTTTTGGCTTTCTTTGTCCTACTGTTCATTGATATAGAAGAAAAGAATATATAACCAGCAAGTATATAAAGTTTATGTGTCTTCATCTATTCTTCATATTGATTATAAGAATTGGTTTGTAACCTAAATCTTGAGAGATGGTGATTTCGCGAGGCCAGGCCTACAAGTCTCTAATTTTGTGCTAGCTGATTGTAAACGACATGATATGAACAACAGTTTTACTCTTTTAAGTTGGTCAATAAAGATACAAATGCATGACTTAAATTAATGGAAGCACAACATGTAGAAGTATGTAAAAAAAGGAAAATAGAAATGATGTAAAGATGAACATAAAATTTCAAGGAAACTTGGAAGAAATTCTTGAAACTGACTAAGAGTCCTCTCACTACCAACCAGCAGACAATCATCTACTTTAAATGTGAAAGGAGTGAAGTTAACAGATTTGATCTTGACCGACTCAATTAAGTAAACTTCTATTGGGACTTCTATGGATTATGGATTCGAAGTGTTATTACACCACCATGAATCACTGGTTTTATTGCCATCACAAAAACAATCTTCTCATGCTAAATTTGTGGTTTTATTTTCATTGTACAACCAATAATATGGTCAAACTAATTTTAGGAAGTGTTATTTGTAGGTGGTCTTGGAGACGTTGCCGGGGCTTTACCAAAAGCTTTGGCTAAGCGTGGGCACAGAGTAATGGTAAATTTCCTCTCTAATAGCAATTCCGTGATATGTCAAAGTACGTTTCGTAGCAGATTGTGGCATATAGGTAGATTATTGAAACAGAATGCTTCTTCTGGGTGGTGAACTAAGGTCTGGATGGCCATCATTCTTCATAATCATCATTAGTTTATTAATGGGCATTAAATTTTTCTCTTTAATCATAAATATACACCCAAGTGAGAACATTTGGAAACCATAATTTTTTTCTTTAATTACTTATTATAAGATCTGCCTGATGTTAATCTGTTTGCTTTCCACAAACATTTAGGTAGTGGCACCTCGCTATGGTAGTTATGCTGATGTTCAAGGTACAGGAATTAGGAAGAGGTATAGGGTGAATGGACAGGTATGCTCAACCAGAGAAGGGTAACTGTGCTTTACTCCGCACCTTTATCTAAATTTAGTTAAAATCGTATATTTTCAGGATATGGAGGTGAATTACTTTCAAACGTATATAGATGGTGTCGATTTTGTCTTCATTGAAAATCCCATGTTCCAGAACTTGGGGAATAATATATATGGAGGAAATCGCACTGTAAGTTTCTCTTCCTGTTACATATGCATGAATTAGTTCCTGAAGTTTATAACCGTCTTTGCTGATGTGATTCATATGCGCCATTTTCAATCGAGAGTCCTTTTTGGTTCCAAATGACTTTCCTTTGATCACATTGATTTTTATAGTTTCTAATGTTGTTCGATGCTTATTTTTTGCAGGATATCCTTCGACGCATGGTTTTATTCTGCAAAGCAGCTATTGAGGTATGACTTAAAAGGCAAGATGTACATGTGAATGGTCTGATTAGATTATGCACATGTGAATGGTCATTCCAGTTGAGGCTTGCAGCCCTGTTTTTCTTTATACATTTATTTCACTCGTTCCTAAAAGCATATAAAATCGATATTTTATCACCTACAGGTTCCATGGCATGTTCCGTGTGGAGGGCTCTGCTACGGAGATGGAAATTTGGTTTTCATTGCTAATGATTGGCATACTGCACTGTTGCCGGTTTACCTTAAAGCATATTATCATGAACATGGATTTATGCGATATGCAAGATCCGTCCTTGTGATTCATAACATCGCTCATCAGGTTGGTTTTGCATACATTCATGATTTTTATATCAACCATATATCGGGTTCCTTATTCAATTATATATCGATTTCAGGGCCGTGGTCCTGTGGCTGATTTTTCTTATGTGGATCTACCACCACATTACTTGGATCTTTTCAGAATGTATGATCCTATAGGCGGTGAACACTTCAACATCTTTGCTGCAGGTCTTAAAACTGCTTACCGCATTGTGACAGTGAGTCATGGATATGCATGGGAACTTAAAACGACCGAGGGTGGTCAGGGTCTACATGGAATAATTAAAGAAAATGATTGGAAACTAAAGGGTATTGTCAATGGAATCGATAAAACAGAGTGGCATCCCCAAGTGGATGTTCACTTGACTTCAGATGGTTATACTAATTACTCTTTAGAAACTCTTCATACCGGCAAGCCACAGTGCAAGGCCGCACTTCAGAAAGAACTCGGCCTACCTGTTCGCCCTGAAGTTCCGTTAATTGCTTTCATTGGACGATTAGATAACCAAAAAGGTGTCGATTTGATAGCCAGAGCTGTTCCTTGGATGGTGGCTCAGGATGTGCAACTGGTCATGCTGGGCACCGGTAAGCCCGAACTTGAACGGATGCTTCGGGAAATGGAGAGCGGGCACCGTGAAAAAGTGAGAGGATGGGTTGGGTTTTCAGTCGAAATGGCTCACCGTATAACGGCTGGAGCCGACATATTGCTGATGCCATCAAGATTCGAGCCATGTGGGCTTAACCAACTGTATGCGATGTGTTACGGAACGGTACCAGTTGTACATGCTGTGGGTGGTTTGAAAGATACAGTTCAGCCATTTGATCCTTATAACGAGTCGGGGTTAGGGTGGACGTTTGAGCGAGCGGAAACGAGCCAGCTGATCGATGCACTTCGGAACTGCTTGCTTACTTACCATGAGTATAAAGAGAGCTGGGAAGGGATTCAGAGAAGAGGGATGATGCAGGATTTGAGTTGGGATAATGCTGCTTATCAGTATGAGGAAGTTCTTGTGGCTGCTAAGTACCAATGGTGAAGTTTCAGGCTAATAGTAGTTGTACATTTTGTAGCAGAGGCTTATTTTGTGCTTTGACAACTTGTACCTCTGATTTGAGGTTAAGTGTAGAGGAATTGTAGTTAGACTATACACATTGCTTAATAAAGTGTTTTGATTGTTCCGTTAAATGTTTTTTAAGTAAGAATGAGTTTTGCTGAGAAAATAATCACAGATGGTATATGGATTTGTTGTTAAAATTGGAAAGTAGAAGGTATGAGTTTTTAACCATCCACAAACCTCCTCCAACTTTTTCCTTTTTTGCAAATATGCCCCCTTTTTCTTTTTCTTTTTCTTAAAAGTCCCAACTTTATCAATATTCCTAGTTTCGAGCTTCCACTATTTGGAACCCACCCATAAAGTCTACTACACATAATAAGATACGTAAAGTAACATGTCTATTTGATTACACATTTTTAACTTTATTAATAAACAAACATGTTATAAACTTTTAATCATAAATAAATAAATAAGAGAGTTTATATAGGTACGATATGTACAATAAACTATCAATTTTAGGCATGATTGTAAACGTTTGAAATGAGGGTGATGGAAGAATTATGGACGTAGCCATGAATGGAAACATTAGTTGTTCTTCTGAACAAATTTTATAGTTCTAAATAACTCGTTATGACGTTAAGGCTTGGGTTCGCCGCCACGTTAACCCCTATTGCTCAACTCTAATGCTTGACTTGCATTGTAACGCGTTATGACGTGTTACGTCACATCAATTTGTAAGGTGTGGGTTATTTTTAGTATATCTTGAAGGATAAATGATAATCATGTACAAGACTAAAACTTAAATAAAAATGGAAAGGAAATCCAAAAGCTAAAATCTTAAATAAATAATTACTTACTCTCATTCCCGTATACGAAGAGTTGAACACAAATTATTTGGAAATTGAAGAACGCAATGTGTAAAGATTCAAGAGATTTAATCCCAAATTTGCATTCTTGATATCATTTTGTATAAGTTCTTCAATGGTTTTTTTTATTACTTTATTCCGAACTTAATTTGTTTTACGATATTATTCAAAACACTAACACATACAAGTATGGGTGGGTGCATGTGTAAATATAGATGTCACCTTAGGGCACGTCCTCAAAAATATTGTAGCCCTGTCGTAAATTGTAAGACTTGAGGTTTGATTTCACCGTCACGATCATGATCACGATACGTCTCACGTCGTTGTCAAATTTTATGAGGTTGGGATTAATGGGTGAAGTTCAAAATAGAAAGAAAAAAAAAAAAACTTTACCCACTTCTTAACACGTATATGGAATGGGTGCGAGTGGCAAACATATGGAAGAAAGAAACTTCAAAGTGAAGCAAACTTGCATTTTCATCCACAAGATGAAAAAGTGAAAAATAGAAGAAAGTTGGGGAGAAGTTGAAAAGAGGAAAAAGAAAAGGGGATGTAATATAAAAATAGTTTTATTTTGTAAGAGATAAAAAGTGCCCCTACTTTATTGAAAAGCGGAGGGAGGTGGGTGGGTGGTGGAACAAGAAAGCTTCAAAGAAAACGGATATATTCACTTTTAACCCATCGTCTTTAAAAATATTAACAATTTACCCCCTCTGTTACGTGAAACTACTTCATATTTCATAAGAACCCTAAGAAAGTGTGATTACCTTTTCGACACTAGTCTACTACATAAAAAATCAAATGAATTATGGATATACAAAGTAGAATGTTTTATAACAAAATGAAACACAAAAGAATTGGGAAGGAGGATGATGGAGGTAGTAAAATGAAAATAAAGAAGAGTAGAGGGGGAGAAATGTAATAAAGACAGAAAGAGAAATGATGAGTCAGCAAAGTATGGAAAAAACTGAGAATCAAAAAGAGCGATGAGAGAGAAAGGGAAAGAAGAGAGAGAAGATCTCAAGAGCCACATACACAACTTGTGGCTCTCCTTTCTTCCTGCCTTGCTAACGTGGCTGTACGATCAAAACCAAACAAAGCCTACTCGACGACGACGACGAAATCACACACACACCCAAAAGATCCGCACCGGTGTTTGTCAGAGACAATAGATCTGTTCTTTTATTATCCAACCAAAACCCGTCTCGATTTCTGCCGGAAATGTCGGAGGGAAAAGATCCTGCGATTAAGTTGTTCGGCAAGACGATTCAGTTGCCGGATGTCTTGCCTGTTGATGGAGTTTTTAGTCAAGATGTTGATGGCGGCGCAGCTGGTTGCGTCAAGAGTGAAGATCGGTCGTCTTCCTCTACTTCTTCGTCGGAGGCTGATTCAAAGGGAGTAGGGAAAGATCGCGAACCGGATGATGATGATGATGATGATGATGATAATAAGGTAACTGATTAATTACTGATGGATCTTATTCCCCCAATCCTAATATCCTATTCTGTGATGATTTTGATTGTTTGATTATGAAAACCCTAAAAGGGTTTGCTTTCCCCAATCCTCTATTGGTTTTATTTGTTTTTTTATTAGGGTTTTATATGTAATTGATGAAAATGGTTACCGATAGATCTTATTTTCACAAATACTTGGATGATTTTGATTGCTTGGACAAAACCTTCTAGGGTTTATCTTTGTTCCTTTTTATTGGGTTTTGTATGCGATTGAAAATAAGCCGATTCTTTGAATCATCTATGAGCAAGTTATATATATCCCTTATTTCAATCAATCATGATCTAAATATCTTTCTTCCCAGAAGTTTTTAGCTACTCTTATTACTTCAGTTTAGGTCCATATAGAATTACATCGCCCCTTTCTTCATCATAAATTACGTTATTTTCTATGATTAGTGTTCTTTGTTTATTCGTTCATGGGTTATAATCTGGTCAATCAAAATTCACCATTTTGGGTAGTTTTAATTTGTGGTCTTGTGGACATGTGTGGTGATGCTTTGTCGGGACTTCAAAAGTACTTGAGATTCCACTAATTCAGGAAAGATACTAAATTTTGAAGTTCATAAGTGTTGAGAATAGTTTGAGGGGTGGTTATAGCTGGGCGTGTGAACTACTTTAGTATGACAAAACTTGGACTTCATTCGTAAGATTGATCCAGAAATTTGTTACTCATGACACTTGATCTTGCTTGCTTGTTACTTCCTCTTTCGGTTGCTCTACTAAACTCGAAATATCAAGTGGATAAAATGTGTAGTTTTGATTTAGGGATTATAATCTTGGTGGTCATCTGTCTGATGCTTCTGGTGAAAAGCTATTCCCAGAAGCGTTGGGCGCTTTTAGTTTTCTACATATATAAAGCATAACATGGAAAAAATAGTGTTGAGTTCAGACGATCTGAGAAGATGTGCTCGACACTAAACTTTGCAGAGGGGTTTACTATCTTTCTGGAAGAGTTAAAGTTGAATTATATTGCTACCCAACCTAAGTTTCTTATCTTTGGCTTAGTGGGCAAAGACATGGAGAGACGAACATATATGTAAGTTTTAGATTGTAATTGGTTTGAGAATTAATAGCAGAGGAGCAAGAAATGGACGAAGTGACACTTGTCAGATTTCAATGAAATTTCTTAGTCAAATATGCTTGCCATCTTTACATAAATATTTGACTGACCTATCAGTTTCGGCAGGAAAAGAAGTCAAGTTTCTGGGCAAAAGCTTGATATACCATGACAGCTACCAAAAATTTTATGGCTTAGGAAATCCTAACAATCAGAAAGTATCTTTCTGTTATGAATTTATTGTAGAGACTCTTTATTTGAACATTGACTAAGTTTTGAGTTTCTCACATTATATGAAGGACACTAAGAATATGATCTGCATTTCATAAAAGATTAGAGGTAGCCAAGTACTAAGTTCAAGCTTGATGCTATTATCATATAAAGCATGCTTGATAATCTATTTCCCGTTTAAAATTGGCAAGACATGGTTGGTAGATGTGTGCTTATCATCTTATAAGGCTCTAGGATTACATTTCTAATTGAAACTTGTGGTAAATCTAGGATCCAGCTGAGGAGAAGTCCGTTGATAAAGAGGAGGATAAAGCCCATTCTACAATTTCGGAGGAGGTTACAGAGCCGAATGCAACTTCAATGTTGAACGAAAATTCAAAAACACCTTCAGCTGAAAATGAATCTGCTGGTGCTGCAAAAGCATCAAAATTGGAGGAAGAACAAAGTGAGATGAGTAACAACCAGGAAAAGACCCTCAAGAAACCCGACAAGATACTTCCTTGTCCGCGATGTAATAGCATGGATACCAAGTTTTGTTATTACAACAATTACAATGTTAATCAACCTCGTCACTTTTGCAAGAACTGTCAAAGATACTGGACGGCTGGTGGGACAATGAGGAATGTTCCTGTGGGTGCTGGTCGCCGTAAGAATAAGACTTCAGCCTCTCAATACCGTCAAATAACTGTCACAGAAGCTCTTCCCACTGAGCTGAATCACACCGTTCTTAAGCCCAATGGCACTGTTCTTACATTTGGGTCCGACACACCTCTGTGCGAGTCAATGGCTTCTGTCCTGAAAATTGCAGACAAAACATTGAGGCAAGACAGTTTTCGTAAGGCTGAAGAGTTAATAGTCCCAGTTAACGATGACAATGGAAGTAGATCATCAACGGCTGAGATGCAAAATTGCCATGGCTTTTCCCCTCAGGTACCCTGTTTTCCTGGCGCACCATGGCCATACCCATGGAATCCTCAAATGGGTCCTGCTTTCTGCCCACCTGGTTTTCCGATGCCTTTCTACCCTGCAGCACCTTATTGGGGCTGTGCTGTACCTGTACCTGGCCCTGGTTCATGGAATATGCAGTGGGTTCCCCCTCCATCTGGCTACCACCCTGCCCCTCCATCTACCTATGCTGCCCCTCCTCCTTCTGGTCCTATATCCCCAACTTTGGGGAAACATTCAAGGGATGAGAAGATGGTAAGATCGGGGGATGAAGCAAGTAAAGAAAATGAAGGGGAGAAGAGTCTTTGGATTCCAAAAACATTGCGGATTGATGATCCTGATGAAGCTGCAAAAAGTTCCATATGGGCAACGTTGGGAATAAAGAACGAGAGATGTGTTGGTGTGAATGGAGGAGGAATGTTCAAGGCATTCCAATCTAAAGGAGGTGAAGTAAAGAAGCCATTGAAAGAAGCATCTCCGGCACTTCAGGCGAATCCTGCAGCATTATCAAGGTCTCTTAATTTCCAAGAAAACTCATGAGTGAGTATTGTGGCAATTGCAAAGGTGACAAAAGTGTTGCATGGAGATGGGCTTCAGTGAGATGCAAATGAGGAAATGGTGGAAGATCCTTTGTAGTAGGTTGGAGCAGTTGATTTTGAATTTAAAGGTAATTTTGAGTCTGAATGTACATATGTTATCTTCTGTGAAATACTAGTGAAGAAGGTAGAACAGAGTGAGTGTGCAGTGAAATAAGTTTAGATACCAAAATTCACAAAACTTTAATTAATCTTTGAATCTTCATCATCTTATTTTGGCCTTGGAATGAGTTTCTTGGTGATGCTAATGTTTTAATTTGCTTATATAATCTGCCATTCTTAGCTTGTGAAATCATTGGTAGGCATGCTTGTGATGTAACACTTGATGAGTTGTTTGTTTACCTCTTAACGGTTCCGTTAAGAGCCAGCTTCTGATTCTGTCAGAAGCAAATGCTGTTTGGGAGTTGTTTTCTCTTCAAAACAAATATCCTTTCTCCGGATCTGAAGTTCTCTCTTTTTGTTTACTTTTTCTGATGGAAGTATTGTTTTGTTTTTGCACAAAGTTTTATGTACTTTCCTCATTCACTGCCTGTTTCTGTGTTTAATGACAGCAAAACAGAGCATGAACACTTCTGTCAATTTGTTTCTTACTTTCTTGAAAAAGAAGTTTACGCACAAGAATTTTATATAACCCATTAAATAGTCTGGATTACACTTCTTAGTCTTTTCTTTTCTAAAATTGTGATTTTGGTTTCATAAACTTTTTTTTTTCTTACACTTTAACTGCTCCACAAATTGCGGGCTTGTCAATTGTCGACCTATGCCTATTATCGTTATTTTGGGAGAGAAATAATCATACAGTCAAAATGACTATTTTAGTTAATTTCTTTTCTTTTTATCAAACTTTTACTTAAGGTTCGTCTACTACATAGTCGATGAAATGCTTCAAACAAATTGAAACTATGATTGTTTTTTATTTTCCTACGTGACAGAGATGAGAGATTGATGCTTTATACTTTGTCATGGAATTACATCATATCTACATGTAGTAACAATTTACAATTTGCAATTTGCAACCCACTGTACAATATTTTCCCCGTCCTTGTAACTCATAGAAACGATTAATATAGCAAAATCATGGGAAAAGTTTAAAAAAACTTGACATAAATTTTTACTTTGAGTGATTTAGTTCCTAGATGAAGGATCACATGAGAATATAAGTTAAGGTGAGAAATATAAGAAATGATTTATATCCTTGATAACTTTTAATCTTAAACCAACTCATGAATTGCACTTTACAAAAGAATTGATTCAGTGTATCTTATTAGTGTTGATCTAGTCGTTCTCTTCGATTAGGATTGATCTAAGGTGGAGGTCTCTTCTTATCTTCTCACCATAACTTAATCCTAAGTCCCTAAATGCTTTTTTAAACAAATAAATTCGTTTTTTGAAACCGATCAAATTCATCTTTGTGACCCATAAAACAGTTAATTTGGTAAAATAATCGGAAAAAAACCGCAACATAATTTCATATTTTGAGTGGTTAATTCCGTAAAGTTTTATAAACAAATAAATCCTTACTACAACAAAACAACGATGAACAAATTATCTCATGATGTATCAACCAATCAAAGCAAATAATAATAATCCAATTAAACAAATAAAATACATAAAATTTGAATTATCCATTCCATGGTATGCAAAAGTTGTGCTTATCTTATTCAATTTTATATATATAGATAATGCATGAAACATATATATATATATATATATATATATATATATATATATAGGTTCATTTAACATCTCTCTTAGCAATATGCAACCAAAAAGGAGACCTAAACATCCTCATCAAACAGACCCCACTCCCATAAAATCTATTAATTTCGGTGGTGATTCTGTTGGCTGCCAATCGTTGTTGGTTGCCAAGGTGATCGGGTTCAAACTCGTTGAAGGAAGATGCATTGACGCCATGAATGATTCTTCATTCTCCATTGTCTTCTTGCAGATCCCACAATTATTCCCCATTCCTGTTCTTTGTTCATACACTACAAACCAAAATATATACACATCGACTTCCTCTATGTAATATAAAAACATGCATACATATCAACACAAATTAATGATAAATAGTTACCATCAGAAGGCCCGTTGAGATCTATGCCTGAACTGTGCGCCGTCTTGCCGGAAGGACTTACAGATGAAACGACACTGTGAGCACCATTCATGGGCGAGGAGGTCGGATTCATGCTTGCGTGTTTCTTAGCCATCAGAGCATGATAAAAGATCTTAACATAAACATCGGTTCTTCCTAGTTCTTCTTCGGATATTGGTTCTTCCTGTCTGCGTAATGGAGGCTTTTTTAAGAGCGGGTTCAATGTGCTCGACCATCGGACTTTGCAACTTTCAGCTACAAATATTTGACATTAGATAATAATTCGAAAAAATATACATCTGTTGATTAATCAAGATTAAGAACAGAGGAGTCGGAAACTATACGAGTTCTTCCAGGGAGTTGGTCTGATATAATCTTCCAGTTCCTGCCCCCATGAGCCACAATATGCTTTATTAGCTTGAAATCCTCCCATCGTGTCCAATGTCGTTTTGCCATGTTGGGTCGAGAAACAACTCTGTAATGGAAGAACAAGAAGAGAACTTTTTTGTCATTTAATCAGACGCCCAATTCGTTTTTAATACAATGACCGAGTTCTTGGAGGTTGCGACATACCGATTTGGTACTTCCACAATCCTCCTCGTTTCCATCTGGTGGTTCTGATGACCATCATCAGAAACACCTGCGTGAACACTGCAAAATAAACATTTGTTTAACAATTTATTTATTTAATCAATCGAAAATCAGCCAACATTTGATTCAAAATAACCTTTGAGAAGAGGATGATGCCATATGATATTTCTTGAGGAGGCACTACTAACTTATTTGAATGATATCTTCTACCTCAACGGGTTTATAAAACAAATTTATTTTTATATCAGAATCAAATTAAATCATGTATTAATAATATAAAAAATAAATCAATTTTTATATCAGAATCAAATTAAATCATGTATTAATAACATAAAAAATAAATATTAATGTTGACAGGTGGTGAGAAGAATATTAGACTAACAGTATACACGAGACGTCCTACAGAAAACTTCTTGTTAGTGAATTTCTAAGAGTCTTGACGCGCCACTGAGGCGCGTGAATGGCACAGCCATTGGATTTACTTGAAATGCATGATATTGATGTAGTGCGAGTATGGTTTGATTTGAGATGGACAACCACATGAAATAGAATCTATCTGGATTTGTAAGTGGAATATTTTTGGTCAACTTATTTCGCTTTGCGTTATTATATTTGGTAAAAAAAAAAAAAAAATGAATCAAAAAAGGAATTGTCGGGAGATGGAGAGTCGGCGAACAAGAAGACCAATCGGCAGTCACCGGAGGAAGGATCACGGTGACGAACAGAAGATATTCGAGGGTGAAGATCTGAAGAAAACCGAGTGGGAGTCACGTGTTGGTAAGTCGAGAGGAAGTTTCTACGGTGTTTCAAAGAAAAGAGGAGAGACGGAGAATCGAGGTTTGGGTTTCAAAGTTGAAGAATCGCTTCACAGGTATGCTACCAGTTTCTTTGTTACGAATTTTCCGGAAGATTTAGATGAGAAGCTTCTTTGGGGCAAGATGAAGAATTTGGGAAGGGTTGTTGATGTTTTCATTGCTAAAAAAAGGGACGCGAGGGGTTTGAGGTTTGGTTTTGTAAGATTCTTGGGTATTAAAGATGTCATTCAAATGGAAAAAGATTTATGTGAAGTTTCCTTTGGATCGTTAAAGCTTAAGGCAAACGTGGCTAAGTATGTTAGGAAAGCCACGAGGGAGGTGAAGGGCACGGCTCAGGTGAAGGGCACGGCTCAGGTTAAGAGAAATGCGCATAAGGGGGAGGCCGAGCCTTCTGTAAGGAAGGAACAGCAGGTTTTTAGAAGTTCCGGTTCGTATGTTGACGCAGTCAAGTATGGCGTAGGCAAAGAGGCAGTTAAATCCAAGGGGTACGGGAGATTTCCTATCAAGATTTCCTCTTCGAAAGAAATGAAAGGTAAGCTGAAATCGTCTCTTATTGGGAAGTTTCGTAGTTTTGATGGGTTATGTAATTTCCAAAAATTTGGGGAAGTTACATTTTCTCAGGAGTTGTTGGTCAGATATCTGGGAGGTTTGTATGTTCAGGTCTGCTTAAAGAGTTATGCTGATGCTCAAAATTTTATGTATAATAACAAATGTATTTGGAGGGACTGGTTTAGCGATTTAGACTTTTGGTCTGATAAGTTTGTGGTTAAGGAAAGGATAGCTTTTGTCACGATTCATGGTGTGCCAATACATGTTTGGACCCCTAGTGTGTTTGCTGAAATTGCTGGGAGATGGGGAGAAGTTATAATTCCTGAAAATTGTTCGGCGGATAGCAGGAATAGGGAATTTGGGAAAGTCGGTATTATTACTGGTGAGGAAACTTGGATTATGGATTCTCTTGAGTTAATTGTCGATGGGATTCTTGTTCGAGTTCGTGTGGCTGAAGATATTGCGGAAGGCATGTCATTAGGATCCTTTTTTGAGGATGCTAACGGAGACTCGGAATCGGATTCGTTATGCCGTTCAGAGAATTTATTTGATGATGATGGTTTTCTTTCTTCATCTCCGGGTCAGTCAGATTCCTCG